CGTTTGCTCAGCTCTCGGGTGAAAAGCACGTTTGCAAGCTTGCTGTTGTAATAGGCTGGCCAAGCGCTGTAAGTCTTCTCCCAATGGATGTCATCAAAGTTTATCTTCCCAGAGCCCATTGAATGCCCTAAAGAAGACACGTTGATGATGCGACTCGGCGCCGATTTTTTGATCAAATCAAGGAGCAGCATCGTTAGCAGAAAATGGCCAAGGTGGTTGGTTCCAAACTGCATTTCAAATCCATCCTCGGTCTTCTGATAATCGCAAGCCATCACACCAGCGTTGTTGATCAGGATGTCAAGGCGACGCTCGCTCTTCAAGATACTCTTAGCGAACTTGCGGACTGAATCTAAAGAGGCCAGGTCGATCTTTTCAAGAAAGACATCTGTGCTTCCAGTTCGCTCTTGTATTTCCTTGAGTGCTGCTTTGCCTTTCTCTAGGTTGCGACAGCCGATGATCACTCTCGCTCCTCTCTTGGCTAAATCCACTGCAGTTTCTTTGCCGATGCCGGTATTACCGCCAGTGATAACAACTGTTTTTCCGTCAAGGCGTTTGGTGCTGTGGCACTGGCCACCTTGGAAGTATCTTTTCCCGGCATAAAGGACTGCAACTGCCGCTGCACCGATTGCTAGTGGAACCGCCATGTTGATCAATTGTTTGTCTGGGTGAGTCAGCTTCTCGAATAAATTATGTAAACAACCCAAGGTTCCTTTGCAAAGCGAACAAACAACATCACGCAATACAAGCAACAGCGGTTACGTGACACAGTCACTACGTGACGCTTCGTTGCGCCCCCAACTTTTAAAAGTTGCCATAAAACAAAACAAAAATAAAGTAAATAAAAAGTAAAAAGTAATGGTTGCCATAACAACGGTTATCTGCGCGTTTATGATCTCATTTTCCATATATCGTGTTTCAGTTTTCATTTGTAGTTCAAGTCAACAAACACAATTTACATACCTTCTCAACACTCAACAGGTTTGATTTTCACGCAATTTCCTATAAATCTTTCAGTTTTCATCTGACAGAAAAATGATGCTAGAGAACCAAGATTTCTTGAGTCAATGTCGGACTTCAGTCCTAGTCATGCAAGATATTCATTTCATCTTCGGAAACATAACATCCTTCACTTTCTAAAACAAAAAACACAATTCTCTGAAAAAATAATTTATTGCGTTATTTTACGTGGTTGTTTTATAGAGCACAGCTAATAATTGCACAAAGGTTGAAATTATTATGTGCAAAGCGTTTTTGTGTGGTTTCTTTTTAAGTTTTAGTTCTGTGTTGCCGTAGTGGTTTTCTGAAGCTCTTCAATAATGACCCGATTCCTTCTTCCTCTACAAAGTGAAATATTCACAAAGTTTACTCAGGTGTGTCACGTTATTCTCAGAAGTTGTTTGTAGTGACACAAGAGCTGATCCATCATTTATCTTTCCTTACTATCTCGAGTGAGCGATGCGGTTTCACAGTTTTCTCCTTTCACTGTGAGCACTGATAGCAATATTCAAGGAGCTGAGAGTAAATCCTGTGAGTGATCACGTGATAAAGGTTATAAATACCGTCTACAGAAGGGATTCCCCCGTATTAAATTAATGTACGTTTCGTTTTTGGCCATTAGGTAATAAATAAAAACGGGAGGATTCCCCTAAATGAGCTTACGTCATCACTGACTCTTTGTATAACTTTCCCATATCTAACGAAGTGAGTTCCGTTTTGACCGATTACCGTGAGATGGGGTCTTTATAGAGGTGTTTGAATAACGGTTCTCAGTTAAAAAATCGGTGATTTCTCAGCCGGGCCCATTTATATTATTATGGCTATCCGTAAACTTTGCTGATTTCAAATCTAAGCCAAAACACGCTCCTGGCTAAAAGTAAAGTAAAAATGCGGTATTTTTAGGTGGCAGTTAAATTTTCTGTTCTACCACTTCACTGGCCTTCTGAGAACTAACCGGTCTGCGAGGATCAGACGTTTAAACTCTGATTTCGGGGTTAAACTTTGCGCCGAATCGTAAAATGTTCGAATACTTGC